CGTGGCCCTTGTGGTGGGGTCTCGGGAGCCGGCACTCTCGGGGTCCCTGTCTTCCTCCATGGCCCCCGTGGGAGGAGGCCCAGTAGGGGGCTGAAGCTCCCAGGGGCCGCTGTCCCAGGAGCCTCCTGCAGACGCAGTGCTCTGGCCTCTTGGGTTCTTTCCCCGCCCTCTGAACCCGCTTGTGTCTTCCGAACGCTCCTCGGCCAGAAGGCCTCATCCCCTCGGGATTGAGTCAGAGCTGCTGTGGACGCCGTGCTGAGCGGGTGTAGTGGTTTCCCGGTGGGCTTGCCCTGCTGCGTCTGTGGGCAGGTTCTGTGTTCCCCATCCCCTGCGGGGAGACACCGTCCTTGCCCGTGGTCATGCGGGTGGCTGCCTGCCAGGGACGATGTTGCGGGGATGGGTGTTGCTCTGCCCCGACAGCTGGCGGAAGGCCGGGCAACTTCTGAATAAGAGCCGTTTACTTCTGACAGTCCTGGAGGCCCAAGTCCAAGACTCGGGTGGGTGTCAGCACGGTGGTTGTGATGAGGCGTCTTCCAGGTTGTGGGCGGCCGTGGCCTGGTTGTGCCTCACGTGGGGGAAGGGGTGAGGGAGCTCTGGGACCGAATCATGACCTAATCATCTCCCCCAGGCCTCACCCCGACACCATCACGTTAGGGTTCGCGTTAGCGTTCAGCGTACGACTGGGGGGGCACAAGCGTTCAGTCGTGGCAGATGGGGTTTTAGTCCAGACGGCCAGCCAGGCCCCTCTTCGTCCGGGCCGTTCCGACACTGCTCTAGTGCACAGAGAACCACGTGTGAATTTGATGCTTAGGAACGCCTTTCCGACAGAGCTTAAATCCCGGATGGGCTTCCTTTTGTTACCCAAAAGCCCGTGGCCGTCTCTGACCTCCGTATGCGTGTATCTACGTTTCTTCTATACGAGTGTATTTCAAACGTCTCCTGTGTGTATGTGACGCACTCAGAGAACACGATCGGACTTTCGTTAGCCCAAGAAGAACATAATTAGATAAATTCCTGCCCAGAAAAGAAACCGTGTTTTGTATTACGGATAAATATAAACGTTAGAAAGAAATCATCTGTTGGGGTGCCTGGGTGGCTCAGCTGGTTGAGCCTGCGACTCTCGATTTTGGCCCAGGTCATGATCTCAGTTTGTGGGGGCAAGCCCCGCTATCAGCGTGGAGCCTGCCTGGGATTCTCCCTCGCCCTCTCCCTGGACCTCTCCCTCCTTGCTCGCGCACTCTCTCCAAAAAATAAAAAAGGAAGAACGAATCTCTCCGTTTGGGTTTTTGATGTCCTTCCTCTCCTTCCATGGAGGAATTGAGAATTGATGTGAAGGGCGGGTGTGTGTGTTTTAAACCTTCTTGTTTTAGAACCATTTTGTTTTAAGTGCTCTTCGGTTATAAGGTAAACATTAGAACATCTTTAATTGTTTTCACTGAATATCAGCGTTTCAAGTGTTTCAAATAGTAATCGTCCAATTGTTTGTATCTTGATTTCGGTAAACGTCAGAGGCGTGCTTCACATAACAGAACGGTGAAAGCCCCAGAAGTATCTAGAAGTCGGGGGGTGCTGAACTTCAGCACCCTGCTTTCCCCCGTGCTTTCTCCCCGCAGCCCACGCTGGGAGTCCTGTATGGCCCAGCCCTGGTCCTCAGAGCCTTTTTCCACCCCCCGACCTTCAGGGTCCTCTCCCCGGCACCCCGGCGCCCCCTTCCCTGGGCTGGCTCAGCCCTCTCACACCGGGTGAGCCATCTCCGCTCAGATGCCCACTCCTGTAGCGGCCTTTGGGACACCAGCCCAGCAGGTGTGCTTCTGTCTGCTTTCCTGGGCCGGGACAGCGGCAACCACGTGTCCCGTTCGTTCACTTAGCCAGTGTTGTTCTTTAAGGCCCGACTGGATTCCGGGGCCCAGGGCTCTGCTGCTCACAGCCCCGCTCGCCCAAGTCTCTCATATCTCCCGACTCCTGTTTCCTTCTGCCCTCCCACTTTTGTCCACGTGCGTGCGTGTTTCCTGAGGGATCCTTACCGGTCGCTGATAGCTCACGTGGGCCAGGGAGGGAAATGTTACTGGTGGAGCTTGCCCCTGATGGCCAGCTTACTTTATAAGTGAGCACCTAAATGGACAGGGTTTGGGAGGCCTTCAAGCATGCCCCCAAGCCGGGGCGCCGTGGTCCCGCTGAGGGAAAATGCATCCAGGTCTAACGAGTCTGTTCTCTCGTCCCAAATTATAATGAGAAATCTCCCCTAAATTTTGAAGCCATGGAGAAAACTTAGAGATTTTTTTTAGGTTTTTCAGGACTTACCATAGGCAGGAATTTCTTTGCTACTTATAAACATGGTTTATGAGCAACTGAGTTATTGCATAAATGTGTCCAATTTTACATAATTAAAGAGATGAAATCCCAGATTAAAAAGTAACTTTCACATGTTTCCCTTGTATGAATAACATAATCAAAAATACCCAGAAAGGTAATTTTTTCTCATTTCTTCTACATTTCTTGTTTTACATAGTAAGTTCTAGATAGTATTACTTGTGTCCCTAGGTAGCAAAGTGAAAAATATTTACACTGTTAAGTGCAAAGGGCAAAATTGTGTGTTCACTGTTCTGTGACTATAATACACCTGTATCTGGGAACATCAAATACTGGTAGAATTATGACTGGATTTTTAGATGAATTTCCTTTTATGTTATGTCTTTATAATAGAATCGCAAAAACAAACACAAGTATGTACACACTCCATATATATATACATAACTATGTGATATAGCTATGTAATATGTAGTATATAACCATATGCTGTGTGTTTTTTACTTTTGTCAGAATGTTCTTATGAATGTTGTGGTACCATTTTTGTGTCACTAAAGCACAAATGTTGAGAGGCATCGATACCTTGCCCGTCTGAAACCATATATTGGCTTTTTAGAGTCACCTTATCACTCTAAACCGAGGAAAGTGGCATCCTGGAGGTCTCTGAGGACGGCAGCAAGCATGCCTCTTGGTAACAGAACGTCCTTAACCCCACAGAAGCTGTGGCTGGGAAGCTCGAAGCCAGGTACGCGGTACGTGGTTGGTCCGACAGAGAGGCCCTTCCCGCGCCAGAGGAGGGTTTGACGAGTGGCGGGTGGTGATTTAAGATCGAGTTCGTGGGGCGCCTGGGTGGCTCAGTCGGTTAAGCGTCCGACTTCAGCCCAGGTCACGATGTCATGGTCCGTGAGTTCGAGCCCCGCGTCGGGCTCTGGGCTGATGGCTCAGAGCCTGGAGCCTGCTTCTGATTCTGTGTCTCCCTCTCTCTTACCCTCCCCCGTTCATGTTCTGTCTCTGTCTCAAAAGTAAAATAAACGTTAAAAAAAATTTTTTTTTAAAAGATCGAGTTCGTAATAGGACTTATTTGCATGACGTTGCTTTTCAACTTCTCAAAGACGTTGAGCCTCATAATCTTCACGGCACACGTAAAGTGTGGTTTCTGACAGTTTGCGGGTGTGACACGCTATCCCTGGAGTCTTGTGACGTCCCAGCACTGCTGGCCCAGCTCCTACCCACTCGCAAGAGCCAGTTGTTAAACTTTTAAGAATTTGGTGAGCCGGTCGATGTCACGCTGGCCGCCTGAAATTGGACATCATAGGACTATTTATACCGTGGAAATAGACAAATGCTCCGGATCTGGGCGTTATTTTTTGAGAGCCAAAAATTTTTATCAGCATCCCACTGATTGCCACCGTCTGCTTGTGGTCATAAGCTTTCTTCAGCCCGTGAGCATTGATCAGTAGAGGCAAAACCTTCCGTTGTGTTTGTCTGTACCTGTCACATTAAATCCATGCACGTTCAAACCAGGAAGTCTGACCCAGCCCCTGAAGTCAGACCTGACCTTGGAGCAGGCGTGGGCCAGCGCCCCCAGCACTACTCCCGACTATCTGAGAGCAGCCTTAAGAGTGAAGAGGTCCAATCTCAGGCGTTCTGCCAGCAATGGTGAGCATGGCGACGGTGACGAGGCCACAAGTAAGGGAAAGCTCGGGATTTGTCCTTTGACAAAGTGAGATTTTGGGCTTCCTGTATTGGCTGTGTCCCTACGAGACCGTGGACAGAGGACGGGGACCCCGCAAGTCCGCTCTGCCCTCCTAACGTGACAGTGACGTGTCCCCAGGCTCCAGTCGGGCCTGCCCCTGTAACTCGGAGGCTTGCTGAGATTTATCGGATGGACGGTACTAGAAATAACAGTTGCACATAGTGAAAACCCCAAATCTCACCAGAAAGCCTGGGTCTGTTGTCCTGTTTCCGTCCTTCTGTCTGGTCTCTCCCCATGTCTCCTCCCCGGCTCTCACGGCTATCCTCGTGGGCCTCCACAGGGATCGTGGTGAGCCCCTGTCACCCTGACCCCCTGCCGACCCCTTCCTGCTGGCTCCGCGTTCTACTCTGGGCTTAAATGTTGTAGAGTCTCAGTCTATCAGGTGCATTTCAGAGACCCGAGTCTGCTTCTCTGCCTCCCTCTGTCAGCGCTGGAAGGGCTGCTGTTTGTCTGTCTTTGTCTTTTTGTTTTGTTTGCGATTTAGAATCTAAAGGTATCACTTCTCCTTCTGTGCCCCTTCTTTCCTTTTCCTGCAGGCAAGCCCTGTGTTCACACCTTTCCGTTCTCTCCTGCTTCACCCTTCTACTCACTGTTGGTGTTGGTTTCCTTATGTTCCGGGAATGATCACGGTCCAGCTAAACCGGTGAAATGCTTTGGTCTTCTTTTTTATCAAACGTCCAGGATTTTCTTAAGGCACAGCCAAGAATTCCGTCTACTCTTCAGATGATCTTTTCAGACGTTTGCTTGTCCTCCTCCAGGTCACGTTCCCAGGACCCCTGTCTACAGAGAGAAGGAAGACATGTACGACGAGATCATTGAGCTGAAGAAGGTAGTATTTCTGTCTGTCCTTTGTTGGTTTTAGACCACAAGAGCCTTCTGTAACCACGGGTGGGAAAGTCAGGATCAGTGCCGAGATGTGTCCGTATGGAAAGAACATGAGCTTTGCAGGGACGCCGAGTTTTGTTTTGTTTTAAGTTTATTTACTTTTAGAGAGAGAACATGCGCACGTGCGATGGGGGAGGGACAGAGAGAGGGAGAGAGAGAATCCCAAGCAGGCTCCGCACCGTCAGCACAGGAGCCCGACTTGGGGCTCAAACTCATAAACCTCAAGATCGTGACGTGAGCTAAAATCAAGAGTTGCACGCTTAACCTACTGAGCCCCCAGGCGCCTCGAGGAGCACCTGAGTTTAAACCCTGGCCCCGTGCTTTGGAAGCTGGGAGACCCACCTAGAGCCTGCTGCAGGAGAGGCCTCCACTGTTGAGATTCCATGTGTGCTCTGCTCCGGCAGCACGGCACGGAAAATGGGAAAGACGGGGTTGACATCACAGTCCCTCTGCACAGAGATCTGGCATCAGATGAGGCCACTGGCGTCATTGTTATCAGTAGCCTTCCACGCGTGGACTCTTCGGTGGTAACCAGACAGTCCACGCTCCCTAGCTCAGTGGGTCTCTACGGGAGTCTGAGGGAGCTTACGGCTCTTAGCCGGTGATGACCTCGAGATTCAGACCAGGTAGTAGTCTGTCCAAGGTCAACCAGTAGCAGAATGAGGACTTCCCCCAAGGCCACCTGCCTCCCAAGGCCAAGGCTCTTTTTGCTGCCCCGTGCTACCTCCTACTCCTTATGGTGTAAATTGCACTGGAATAAATTATCGCCACCCTCATCGCCTTCGACGGAACCACTGCCGCCACACTGCTCTTAGCATCCACGTGCATACTGGTGCCCCTGGAGAAGCGGCCAGGGTTCACTTCCTCTGCATCTGGAGGGCCATGGCCCGTCTGGGCACCAGAGGTTAGGTGGGGCGTGGGCAGCCAGCACGCCCAGGGGCACGGCCACGGCGAGGAGTCTTCGAGCCATCTTACCCGAGGAGCCGCCGGTCTGGGCCCCCGTGCATGAGACGCAGCCCTTCTGTGGCGGCCCAGACAAGATGCTCCGATGTCAGGGGCCCTCCAGAGATTGCTCCCCCATGGGAGCTGCCCAGCAGGGAAGGTGCTGCTGGAGCATCGCACTCCCTGTCCTGAGGACAGCTGTGTGTCAGAGTTATTGTGGGGAGAGCCCTCATTTGGAACTCCGGATAATCACTGCAGTAGCAGTCTTGAAAGGAATCTTCTGCAGCTGGAAGTGGTCTCTGGGTAAAATGACACTGACTGTATTCAAACTTCCCGTCATGGATGTATGGGAAAAATCAGTCGAGGCTTCTAAACGCAGGGGGAGGAGAATTTCACTTCCAGGACTCTGAGCTTCAGAGTTGTTTTTCTGTGGCAGGTGGTGCCTCAGTTTCCTGTTGAAAAATGGGGATAACACAGGAACGGTTTCACGGTCGCGACGCGGGTGCTCCCATCAGCGCAGGGCCCCAGGGAGTACTCTGTGCCACGGCCGGCACCCCGCAAGAGGCCACGAGTGCAGAACATCCCAGGGAGTGGCGGGGATGGCACAGAGGCCCCCCCCCCCCGCGCCCGTCTCCCCCAGCGGTCAACGCAGTGTCAAAGCCAGGCCGCAGACGTGGACTTGGTGCACGTGTCCGGTTCCGTGCCGTGTTGCCGCGTGTGTGTACCCGTGTCCCTGCGCGCACGCTGCCCCACGCCACCGGGCATGCTGTCCCTCCAGCTGCCCCTTTGTGGTCACACCTGCCTCCCACCCCATTCCCCATCCCTGACTCCTGGTGGCCACTGGCTTTTCTCCCCATCTCTATAGTTCTGGCATGCTGGTAATGTTCTCTACGTGGACTGATGCAGTATGTGACACTGTGGGGGGGAGCTCTGCCTCCTCTTTAGTCACACGTCTTCCCTCTTTTGTTGACCAGGGCGCATTTATGGTCTCTTGTCTCGTCTGTGGATGGGCCTGTAGAGTCGCCGTGTCGTTTCTGTTCTCCGAATTCTGCTTTGTCTGATGCTAACATGGCCGCTCCTGCCTTTGCTTGTTAATGCTTCGCTGGCATCTCTCTTTCCATCCTTTTACTTTCGACCTCCTTTCACATTATGTTAAAATGAGGTTCTTGCAGACAACATGTAATTGGGCGTGGTTTTTTTTTAATTATTTTTTTCCAACGTTTTTATTTATTTTTGGGACAGAGAGAGACAGAGCATGAACGGGGGAGGGGCAGAGAGAGAGGGAGACACAGAATCGGAAACAGGCTCCAGGCTCCGAGCCATCGGCCCAGAGCCTGACGCGGGGCTCGAACTCACGGACCGCGAGATCGTGACCTGGCTGAAGTCGGACGCTTAACCGACTGCGCCACCCAGGCGCCCCTAAGGGCGTGTTTTTTAATCTACGTTGCCACTTCCTGTCTCCTAGTTGGTTTGTTTGGGTCATTTATATTGAATGTAATTTTTGGTAGGTTAGGATTTAAGTCTTGCACTTTATTTTGTGTATGTGGCCTCATGACCCCTGGAGAGTGAGAGTCCTGATGCTCTAGCAGGCCTCCTCTGACCCCCCCTCCCCCCCCCCGCAAGGAGGCAGCGTGCCTCACTACAGCCTGGCAGGGGTGGGGGGCTTGGCTCCCGGCTCAGCCTTCACTGGAAGGGGTGAGGCCTGCAGGTTCTGTTGTGTTTGCCTGAGGGTGGAGCGGTTATCACCCGTGCCTTCTCTGCCTGGCCAGGCTGCCCCTTTCCTGTCTGTGCCCGTGGGCTTGTCCAGGCTGTTGGCTTCCCCAGCACTCCCGTCTAGGACACGTGAGGCAGCAGGAAAATCGGGGGGCTCTGCAGTCCCTGCTTGGGTCCTGAGCCCCAGCCTAGTCTGTCTTCTGTCCACCCTTCTGAGCCTTCTTACATCTGCCTTACATACAGTGTCCACGGCTGCAGGAGTAGGGAACACTGAGTGTACCCCGTTTCCGGAAGCAGAATTTCCATTGTTAGATTTCTTCTCCTTCCCGATGGCTGTGCACGAACTGACCTATTCATTAAACACTCACTGAGTGCCAGGGTCCCCTCGTCTCTTGGAGCGCTGTGGCGGTCCGGCCAGCGGGAGGCCTGCAGCTGACCTGTCCGGCCTCTCTCTCTGCAGTGCATACTGGGAGTCCGCTTGCCAGTGGTGGGGGCTGGGTTCGTTCGGGCACTGTCTCTCTTCTACACCTCATGAGTCCTGGAAGGAGAAGGGTGTTTCCAGGTTAACTGGCCAGTTCGGATGCAGGCTGATGCCGGAAGCTGGTTGAGTGCCCTGGCTGTCCCCGTGCGGGCTGTGGGCACGTCTGAACCTCGTGTTCTCCAGGCCTCGCGGTTTCATGCCCTGGGAGAAGGCCTTTTCAAGTGAGGACATGGAAAACAAAAATGAAAAATCCCCTACCATCACCATTTCCTAAAAGGACGACAGAAGCCCAAAGTAGAAGGGAGGAGAGTTTTCTAAAGAGGGCGGTTGTGGAATTGAATCACTTTAGTACCGTGAAAAATCAGCTGCTCAGGCTTTTTCCCTCCGTTCACCGCAGACTGGTAACAACTGGCAGGGGCCCCCACTCTGACCCCCCCAAGCCCCAGCTGAGGTCAAGGGTTTGAAGTGGACGTTAGCCTCGGATGAGTTTTGGTGACACGTTCTGTGACACGTGTGGGCTCCCTCAGGTGGGCGTGGGAGAGAGCGGCGTGCCTGTGTGGGGCTGCCTTTAGGAGGGGGCGTTCCTACTCATGTCGGGTGGTCCTGCACCTGATGGCATCCCCCCTGGTTCCCAGGCACCAGGTGCCTCCTTCCCCCCAGCACCACGCACGCGCCCTGACCGGGAACCGGGCCACCTCGAGAGTTCTGCTCCGACTTGTGTTTCACCTGGGTGTTGGGGTGCGCGTGTGCACGAGTGTGTGTGTGTGTGTGTGGTTCTGTCTCCTCTCAGTCCCTGCACGTGCAGAAAAGTGACGTGGACCTCATGAGAACAAGGCTGCGGCGCCTGGAGGAGGAAAACAACAGGAAGGACCGGCAGATACAGCAGCTCTTGGACCCGTCCCGAGTAAGTCGTGGCCCCGCAGCGGTGGCGCCCGGCCGCGGCAGGGAAGGCGCAGGCCCCGCTCTTCGGGCTGCAGGGGGGAGAGGCCGCCCGCCAGTGTCTTCATCTCTCCGTCTGCTTGCCGCAGGACCCGGATTTTGTTCGGACTCTGGCAGAGAAAAGGCCCGATGCCGGCTGGGTGAGTACCGACTCCAGCAGGACCGATAACCTTCCCGCTGAAGTCTGAATCTCAAAACAGCCCAGAGTTGAGGGACGCCTTTCCTCTAATGCAGTCGTGCAAGAGGGGTGACAGGGAGCCAGGGCCCAGGAGCCCCTAAAGCACCGTCCGCGGAGCCAGAGAGCTCACGACAAGACGCTGCGGGCGCTGCTGGGGGCGTGAGGGGAAATCGAGCAGGCCGCGCAGGGCAGAAGGTGCACAGCAGAGGACAGCGGTCGCTGTGGTGACGTCCCCCGCCACCACACTGAACTAGAGACGCTGAGGAAACAAAGCGGGATAGGATAAAGCCTTTCACACTTTAACACACACACCAGCTCTGCCACGGGGCCGCGTAACACACGGCACAGCGAGTGAAGCAAGGTGACGGCACCGAAGCCATTCCGTGATGAGGGCTGCGGTGGTAGAGAAATAGGACCACAAGAAACCTGCTGAGTCAAGGAAGCACACTTCTCGAGAAGAGTGAGATGCAGACGGACCTGGAAGGGATCCAATTCTGAGAGCACTGAGCCCAAGGAATCAAATGACATTAACGATGTGACTTTTGGGTGTGATGATGCAACATTTGCAACAAAGCCCCGTGGGACTACAGGGGAAACTGAGTCAACATGATGGGGCAGCAGGGAGGACGCTGACCAGTGCGACACACAGAATCCATGCGGAACTGTACGGAAAGCCTGCAGTCGGCTCTGTATAGGTGGTTAACACCGGCCCCGTTCCCAGGACGCACGAAGGAAGTACTTTCAGGGCGTGAGCACAGATCGGAGTGTTTCCACGAGAAAATTGTTTTCAGCTTAATAGCAACTCTAGACAGCGAACAGTTGAGCATGATCTCATTGGATTTTGTGATAGGGACTCAGTCCCTATTTAAAAAAAAATTGTTTTTAACGTTTACTTATTTTTGAGAGAAGGCGAGACAGAGTGTGAGCGGGAGAGGGGCAGAGAGAGAGGGAGACAGAGGATCCAAAGCAGGCGCTGTGCTGACGGCAGAGACCCCAATACAGGGCTGGAACCCACGAACCACGAGACCGTGATCAGAACCAAAGTGAGACACTTAACCGACAGAGCCGCCCAGGTGCCCCTCGATCCCCACTTTGAAACTCAGGAAACTGAGGTTAAGAGATTTGGCCATGGTGCGCCTGGGTGGCTCAGTCGGTTAACATCCGACTTCGGCTCGGGTCATGATCTCGCAGTTTGTGGGTTTGAGCCCCGTGTCGGGCTCTATGCTGACAGCTCGGAGCCTGGATCCTGCTTCAGATTCTGTGTCTCCCTCTCTCTCTGCCCCTCCCCACTCACTCTCTGTCTCTCTCTCAAAAATAAATAAACATTAAAATTTTTTTTTTTAATTTTTAATGTTTATTTATTTTTGAGACAGAGAGAGAGAGCATGAACAGTGGAGGGTCAGAGAAAGAGGGAGACACAGCATCTGAAACAGGCTCCAGGCTCCGAGCCGTCAGCACAGAGCCCGATGCGGGGCTTGAACCCGCAGACTGCGAGATCATGGCCTGAGCCGAAGTCGGACACTTAACCGACTGAGCCACCCAGGCGCCCCCCTTTTTTTTTTTTTTTAAAGAGAGAGAGATTTGCCCAGGTTGGGTTTATAGTGAATCCACAAGTACCATGCCTTGGTCCCCACTGTTCCTCCGGTAGTTAATATTGGAGAAAAGACGTCTTAAGCTACCCTGAGTAAAACCTCACGCCTTAAACCAGCAGAATAAACACAAATGATCAAAACCAGCGTCAGCAGGACTGAGAACACCGGGCATGCTCAGAGCTGAGACACCGTGTTTTAGGTTGGCGTGACCGAGCAGAGGAATGGCCGTGAAGTTTTGCTTTCCGTTTGCCCGGTACTGCTCCCTTTCGGGCTGTGTCTCAGGGAAAAACTCCAGTATAAAAAGCCTTTTACACAAGGAAATTTATAGCTGCCCGATTTGGGGGGGGAACATTGAGGAGAAACCATTACAATTTGAATGATGCCACATGGAAACATTTTCAGAAGAAAAAAAATTTTAAGAATATAAATGAGTACAGCTATGTTCAGAAATGGCTGTGTGATTGAGGATTTAGAATTTTGTAAATAATGCATACTTTTAGAGAAAGGGCTCTGCATTTCTGTTCTGATGCTGCGGGTCTTCTGGGTCTTTTTGAGAGAGAGCGTGAGTGGGGGAGGAGCAGAGGGAGAGAGACAGAGAGAGAGAATCCCAAGCAGGCTCTGTGCTGAGCGCAGAGCCCAACCCCGGGCTCAATCCCACGACCTCGGAATCACGACCAGAGCTGATGTCGAGAGTCGGATGCTCCACTGACTGAGCCAACCCGGGCGCCCCGGCTTTTTTTAAAATTAAAGTTGATTGAAAGTAGGAATTCTAGATCCTTGGGTGTGTGCAGTTTCCACCTTAACACCCGCTGCCAAATCGCCCTTCAGAGTTGCCGTGTCCTGTGACTGAACGCTGTGCTGGTGAGCAAGGTGCCGGTGAGCACTGGGCCGGTGAGCACTGGGCTGGTGAGCATCGCCCTTCAAGAAACGTCTGCATGTGTGCATAAGAAGGGTGATTTCTACTGAAGTCTTGGTCGTAAATAGCAATTTAAGCCTCATCGATCGAGGAATGGGTGTCCACACCGTATGACTGTACCGGGCAGGAGTCACGTAGGGGTGCGGCCCCACAGGGATGGTCCACCAGGACCATTCGTGGCATGAGAAAACCACGTGGCCGCCTGTGCGGTAGGATGCCGTAATGTCAGTGGGTGCACATGCACGACACAAGGTCTAGAGGACACAAATTCGCTTGATGACAGTATTAGGTGAGGGGGGTTAAGGTCAAGGGCCATAGTCTGATATATGTTCTCATTTTTCCCCAAGAAGATGTATTCATGTATTACCGAACGTAATTGAAAATTAGTTTAAAATCCAACTGGGAAGGTGTTTGGGTAGCCAGAAAGAAAGAAGGGGGTATTCTTTCAGGAGCGCAAGGGTGCTGTCCCCCACAGTGATGGGTTGGCAGAGAGAAGGAACAACGAGACACACGCGGTCTTCCGTGCCCCAGAGTGAAGCTCAGGGTCGTGGGGGGTCAGCTCTGCTCGCTCCCAAGGGGATACCCTGGACACAGTTGTCCTTTGAATCTGGTGATGGTGGTGCATCCGTGTGTTCCTAGTGTGGAACGTGGGGGTGGGGGGGGGGCTCTGCACCCGTCCCACCCTGCCCCCGCCCCGCCCTGCGCCGAGAGCCGGACAGTCGGGCCCTTTCTTTGCTGTGCTAGGGACTACGGGAGAAGCCGGCGACCAAGTGGGGCAGGATCAGCGGGCAGGGGACGCCTAGCCCAGCCCGGGGACAGGAGGGAGGGGGAGCTCGCGGACGGCGGAAGCAGTCGACTTGATGCGCGCGTGTTCAACTGGCAGGTCGTTAACGGGCTAAAGCAGAGGATTCTGAGGCTGGAGCAGCAGTGCAAGGAGAAGGACAACACGATCAAGTACGGGCACGCACGGGCGGGCAGGGGGTGGTCCGCAGGGTCTCCTCGGCCAGGCCCTGGCGAGGCTGGCTGCAGCCAGCCCGCGTGCCCGCTCGCCTCCCCTCGTACCCGGCAGCGGTGTCTGCTCTGTCTGCTGGGACTGCACCCCCAGTCCCCACCCGCCACCCTCCGTCCCACGCCCTTGTCCCAGCATCCTCTTTGTGCCAAGACTACGAAAGGAAGTGTCGCCGAACAGCGTCTCCTTTTCATCTTTTCCTGTTCTCGTTGCATCTGAGCCCCGCTCTCTGTCCTCGCTCTGGTGTGGACCGCGTGCCATCTCCCTGTGGGTCCGTGGGCGCTGGCACCCCAGCGGCCTGCCCTGGTCCCGTGTGGTCCCGGTGGAGCCGTGCGGAGCAGAGTCCTGCCTGGAGGCGCCCGAGTCCCTTTCCGCTTTCTCTCCCTGCGTCCCTTCTCTGTTCCTCTGCTTCCCCTCCTGCTTCTTGGTGAAATCGTCCCCTGTAAAAATCTGTATTATTTGCTGATTTCTTCTGTATTTCGGCACCCTGAACTCCGCACCTTGATTTGCTAGAGCTCTTTATCTGAAGTCTGTTGGATGCTGAGTGGGGGGTGCTGGCAATAGGGGTTGGGGGTGACGCTCCTTCCTCACAGAAGGAGCCTCCCACCGCCCCCCAGAGGCGGCTGTCCCCGCCCCAGGCTTCACGGGTACCCCGCTTCTTCCACGACAGCCCCCCACTTAGTGAGGAATAGCTTTAGGGAGTCTGCTTCTGCACAGAAGGGGGCCCATGGCTGTGAGGACTCTCCGTGGGTCTCCGCCCAGCCCGCGTCTCTTCTGCCAAGCCCTTCCTCCGCTGACGTCCTGGGAAGCGCTCTTGCCCTTGCTCTGCCCCCGGGGGGGGCCGGCGCTGCCCTACTAACTGTGAACCGGGTTTCTAGCAAACTGCAGACTGATATGAAGACCACTAACTTGGAGGAGATGAGAATCGCCATGGAGACGTACTACGAGGAGGTGCGTGCCCTTCGGGGAGGGGAAGTCAGTGACCTGGGCGGTCGCCGGCCACACCTGGCACCCTGCGCTTCCGTTCCGTCTCAGCTTGAACGTGAATCCCAGCAACTTAGGCAGAAACCAGGAACCCGATCACAACTTTTTCAGAGCACGTTCTCCTCCGTGCTCGTTTTGTACCGTAACATATTTTAATTTGGCGTTTGCAGATTCATCGTCTCCAGACTCTCTTGGCGAGCTCCGAGACCGCGGGAAAGAAGTATGATCATCTCCTCGGGAACCGTGTTTCATGTTTGGTCCCGAAAGTAGCGCAGACATGACACGGGAACTGCGTGCACTGCCCTTCTCTTTGGAGCAGTGCACGCACCTGCATCAGTCTGTTAACGGTTTCCATCTGGGACGGTGACGCACAGCCACGTGCTGGCTCCTAACTGCATATTCACCTCCCCATGCTCTGAGTCCGTAATTCCTGCTATGTAACAGCCTCCAGCTTAGAATTAGAAAGCGCTGTTGTTCCAAGCAGGGCTTCCTTATTAAGAAGGCGTTTAATGCCAAGTACAAGTCCATCTCCCCCCCAAGAAGTTTATTAGAGACATCAGGGGTTCCCCGTCTCGAAGATTCCCTTTTCACAGATTTGGCCACGTCACTGCCGCGGCACTGAGCCGCGAACTGAAATCAGGCATTCGCCCTGAGCCAGGCACGGCCTTCCCTTCCTTCTTTTCGGGGTTGGCAGACTTTCTCTGTACAGGACAGCCGCTGCTTTGCTCTTTGAAGCAGGCGTGCCCCGCAAAGCGTCCGCAGACACGGAATGGGCGCATCTGCTAAGCCATCGCCCCCGGGGCGCGTGCCGCGTAGGCTCCTGCAGCAGGTGCCTTGGGCCGCAGGACCGTCACCCACTGGTCAGCACACAACCTGTTTCCGCTAGCGTGTCTGTGCATTCACGTGTCAGCCAGCACCTCACACACGGGCTTCCTCGAGGCCCATCGCAGCCTTCTCCCGAGCCCCGGCAGGGACATGGGGCAGCCCCTGAGCGCTGTTAAGGGGACTGCTTTAAACCCTGAACTCACCAACGAAAGCACCCAGGTGTGAAAAGCATGTACTCAACAGGCTGTGAAGGTGCCGCCTGTGGACAGCCCGAGGGTGGCAGTGAGAGCCAAGCCGGGTGCCTGTCCCCCCCAACCATCCCCCCCCCCGCCCCTGCCTCCCACTCCTGCCCCCCACCCCCGCCACCGGGAACTTGGCCCTCAGGCTGTCCACCACCCAGCCCGTGGCCCTGTACTGTGAAGGGGTCACACGTTAAGTGTGAGCAAGAATGCAAATTTGCAAATACAGAATCTGAACAATGAGGACCGACTGTATTTTAGACTCTGTAGGATAAGAGGCAAATCAAGCTATTGTACGGCTAGTTACGTAACGAGAGAGAACGTGAGTTCCCACAAACGTTTTCGTGATACGATTTAAAATATATTAGTAGTATCGAATACAGTGTTTTGTTCTGCAGGTTGATGGATGAGCACAGATTTCTGTTTGGGGGACAGCACTTTGCTTCCTTGTAGTTAAGTGTCAGGGTTCCCTGTTCCACTGCAGATATCTGCAGAGAGCACTCTGAGCCACAGACAGGCACCCACAGGTGCCGTGTGGCTGCCCCCCTTGAAGGCATTTATCCAGCCGGTTTAGAAACCCAAACCTAGCCCTCGGCTTTGCTGTTCCCAGGACTCCGGGGGAGAAGAGACTGGGCGTCAAGAGGCCGAAGAAAGTGAGCAGCGCCCTCCTGAGCTTGTCCCGGAGCGTCCAGGAGCTCACGGAGGAGAACCAAAGCCTGAAGGAAGACCTGGACCGTGTGCTGAGCAACTCCCCCACCGTCTCCACCACGAAGGGTACTGGCCCGGGAGCCACCCGCGGAGGGGCGCTCGAGGAGAGGCCGTGTCTCGGGTTCTTTGAGGAAGGAGGCAGGTGGCGAAACGCGGGAGAATCTGGCAACCCCACGCCCCTATTTCAGTTGCCAGAAATGCAGATGCGTACTGCTGGGCAACACCAAAATTGACTCCGAGATCTAAGGAGCACCTGCTGTGAGCCAAGTACCCTTTCAGGTAGTTGGGGAGGGCACTAGACAAAAGCAGACATCCCTCGTGGAGGCCACATCGTACTGGGAGGGAGAAGCCAGCAGGTCAGTCATGGGTCTTGGTGGCAAGAAGTGCCACGGAGCGAAATAGGAAGGACAGCAGGTGTCGGGGGCAGTGGCGTGCACCTGTGAGTAGGGTCTTCGGGGACAGCCATGCCCACGGCCAGTGTGCCCAGCATACGTAGGCAGTGGGAGGGTGGTGGCGATGATGGCAGGAGGAAGTCGTGGGGCCAGGCTGTGAAGGCCACACCCGGGCCCTGGGGGCTGGGGCAGAGGTGAGAAGTACTGAATGGACCGTGTGCAGAAGAGAGGGTGGGAAGACCAGGGCTTCTGTGGCGTCCCCATGGGGGTTGCTGGCGACCCCGGGCACCACAGGGGTGGCAGGTGGCCAGGTTCCAGATGCCTCAGAGAAGGGAGGAGCCGGCTTCCAAAGCTCTTATCTGAGCTGCTGGAAGGACAGGGTGTCCTTGTGAGGTGGAGGTGACGGAGAGAGGAGCAGGTCTGGGGATGGGGACGTGTCAAGTCTGTGGTGCGCAAAAGGTGTCCAAGTGGAGGTGGGTGCATCTGTGAGTTCAGGGCAGAGGCCTCAGCAGGAGATGCCCACATGGGGGTCAACAGCCAGCAGAGGGCCGGGCTGGGACTGAGCGCACCAGTGAGTGAGGAGAGCAGAGGAGGGCCTGGGGTCCAGCCCCTGGTGCGACACAGCAGGGTACAGAGGGTGAGCCGTGGCGGTGACGGTGACGGAGCTCAGAGCGCCGGGGAAGGAAGTGCCGGGAGGAGGGAGGAAGGCGGAGGATACAGCGCGGACTCGTGTGTGGCCTTGAGAAGTTCTGTCTCGGACCGGCACGCACGATCAGGTGTGGATGTCACACTGAGGTCTTAGGAGGCCCTCGGCATGGCCAGCTCCACAGTGTGGGCACGGACTCCCTCACTGGGAGGCACCCTTCCTGCACGAATCTGCCAGGCGCCGCGCGGCGGAAGGGGACACTCACAGGCTGTGCTAGAGGTGGGCGGTCGGGGCTGACGGGGGCCATCGGGATGGCTGTGCCAAGTTCACCTCTTAAAGCCATTGCTTCCATCAGGTTACACGGAGTGGAGTAAGCCCCGGCTGCTGAGACGGATCGCGGAGCTGGAAAAAGTGAGTGGTGCGCCTCTCAGCTGCCCGTCCTTGACCCGCCCGAGCGCCAGGAGAAGCCGGCGCCCTGTAAAGTGGGGACCCAGATGAGCCCTTTGCTCACAGAATGCTCTCAGCACATGCATGGTGGCTGTCCCCCGCATGGCATGCGATGCAGATGGGAATGAGCAGACTCCGTGCAGGTCTGGACGAGACCCACGGGTCGTGTCGTTCCTGTCCCTGGTGTCACAGGTGGCCAAGCCACGGTCACGTGGCCCACGGTTTTGGACTCCTTGTGGGACCAGGGATGGAGGCAGGTGGGCCTAGGGCCTTCCAGAAACCAGGCGGCCTGAATACTCGAGTCGGAAAACTTTGTTTATCATCAGAAAGTTGGGGAGATTAATCCTTCCTCATACCTGCCGTGGGTTTGCAGATCTGATTTCACTCCTCTGGTCAGTACTCAGTCCGCTTGTTTGGAGTGGGTCAGATGGGCCCGCGTCTGCTGACTGGTCTGGTGAAACGGTGAGAGCTGTCCCCTGGTTTGGCTGACCGGAGTAAACCTAGAAGGAAGCATCAAGTAACTACAGATCTACACAGCAGAAAACCTGAGTTTTTATGCACTGGGTATTTTGCGAAGACAGCTTGTTAGGAAAGGTGGTCACCCAGAGGTGGTGCAGAAGCCCAGGGGGTGGTGCTTTCTCGGCTGAGACACCCACCGTCACCGGGGAGCTGGAGCCGCTCAGTCAGTCCCTCTCAGCGGGCAAAACCGGGCTATCACGTGAGATTAAAGGCACAGAGGCTGAAAATGCCAGAAATCCTAAAGAAATGGTAGGGTCCATGAGCCCAAAGAAAAGCATATGAGCTTGCCTCCCACATGGCCTCCGTTCCATCTTGTTAACGGCGCCTTGCCCCCACCGTGCCAGGCCGGGCTCTGCGGGCAGGGTGCTCTTCACCTCCCCGCCAGGCTCCGGTGACGTGGTGCCATCCCGGCTTGTGAGGTCACACGCAGAACTTGGCCCACACCCGCGCCTGGGACCAGTTTCCGTTGGTCACGGTCTTCCTTGGGTTTCACAACCGCAAAGGAAAATGAGAAATAACTTCTAACAAATGCCTTTGTTGCCCCCAGAAAATAAGTTGGATGGAAAGCCCCACATCACAGGCTTCAGAAGAGGTCAAGTCAAACGCCCCGGTGCAGTCTGCGTCCAGCTCCACCGTGCCCCGGCAGCCGAGATGTGACCGGCACCAGGAGAGCGAGCGTCTCCGGGGGACGGTGCAGAGCCTGAGAGGCGAGCGGGACGCGCTGCAGATGCAGCTTCAGGAGAAAGAGTAGGTTGCAAGGCTCGGCCAGCACCTTCCGCCCTGGAAAGGGTCGCGGCGGGAGTCCGGCCATCCTGGCGCACTCGGGAGACATGCTCAGCTTCTCGTAGTAACTGCTGGCCTGGTTTCATGTGCTTGAAAAGTCCTGTATCTTGTTTGTGAGATAAGAGCCACTTCGGTGGTAAAAACAAGATAGCAAGTGACCACATCACGTTATTGAAAGAAGGGGAGGTGTCATTCAAACCTCTTGACTCCATTCCAGAGCCATTCCCAAATTCTTCACTAGAGAATAATCTACCTTCATTGATTTGTGAGGTAGATAGGCCATCAGTTAGATTTTCTTTAAGGTTTAGAATCAGCGGTATGTTTAAGGGATCTCGTCTAAGTACCAAGTAAGACAGACATGCTGTGAAGCGTTCAGTGTGACCCTGAGAGTTTGAAAGGAAAAGCCTGCAGAGTTTGCTTATTTGCTGTTGGTTCTCTAGTGTCTTGAGTTGTAGCCTCCTAAAAATGTTCCTGTCTCCTCCGCTGTCCGCTAGTGGCTTCTCTGGTCAAAGTTGTGTTGTAAGCCAAACCCATGCATCTTCTGAGATGAGGGTTATCTCTCAGAGTGTGGCCTGGGCAACCAGCAGCCTCAGCATCACCTGGGAGCTGGTTAGCGATGCAGAACCTTGGCCCCACCCACCTGGGAAGCTGGTTAGAGATGCAGCACTTGGCCCCGCCCACCTGGGAGCTGGTTAGAGATGCAGAACCTCGGCCACGCCCACCTGGGAGCTGGTGAGAGATGTAGAACCTTGACCCCGCCCACCTGGGGGCTGGTTAGAGATGTAGAACCTCGACCCCGCCCACCTGGGAGCTGGTTAGGGATGCGGCACTCGGCCCCACCCACCTGGGGGCTGGTTGGAGACGCAAAACCTTGTCAGACCCAGATCTCCTGAATCTGACTCTGTGTCTAACGACGCCCCCTGGTGATCGTGGGCATGTTTAGGTCTGAGAAGGCCTCCCTAAGCTGACTAAGTTCTCTGGTGCCTGTTTATGGCAGAGGAAAACCCCTTCACACTCCCCTTGTTCTCCTCCAATCCAGGCGCATCTATGCCAATTGGCAGGTCCTTTGTAAAAATTAGTGTTTCATGAGAGGTTTCAAAAATGGGGCTAGTCATTTTGAAAGATAAATAACATCTGCGATTTTCTCTTCAGCCGTCACACGGCATGATAATAGCTTCCGCTTGCTGAGCCCTTACTATGTGACAGAGGCTCTGATAAACAGTCAGGGTGTCTCGGATTCCTGTGGAGATTAAACGAACCTTGGAACCAGTGGAGCTGAGGTCAGACAAAGGTCTTGTTTTGGAGCCACGTGCCACCTGTGGGGCCCAGGAAAGCCCATCGGGCAGCAGTTTCGTTGGAGGTGACGGGGTAATCCCCCCTCGTCCTCAGGGCCCCAGCTCAGGCAGCAGCCCCGTGTGGCACGGGCAGGACCCTCAGCAGTCCTCTCAGATAGGGGTGACATACCCGATTGGGTGACTGTTGGGATAACGCCCGTCTCCATGAGACAGCGAGGCCCGTGCGAGCAGGGCCCGCGCGAGCAGGGCCCGCGGCTCGTGTGATGGTGCTCACCTCGGTATCCCGGGCACCTAACAGCCACTGGCACATAGCAGGCGCCCAGTAAATACCTGGATGAACCACCACCGGGCCGGTGGGCCTCTCGGGTCTGTTCCTGGCTCTGTGTAGCTATGAGCGAGTGCCCCTGCCTTGCATCCACCGTCACGGGGACGGAGGTCAGGCTGCGCGATGTTTGCTGAAAGCCCTTCCTGCTGGGTGAGGATCGGTGTTCCTGTGACGCTGAAACGTCTCTGCTTCTGTGTGTTCAGTTTGGAAGTGAGACAGCTGCTACAGACAAACGCCACCTTGCAGAAGGAGCTGGAGGGCGTGAGGGAAGGGGAGGAGGAGAGGAGAGGAAGAGAGGAGGCTCTGAGGTGAGTGCACAAGAGGCAGAGGCTGTGGAGGTCGCACGACTCCAAGCGTTTCCTGCCTTTCCTCAGCGCGGCTCTCGGAGTGGCTCTTATACAACCCCAGCCCGATCCCCACACCCCGCGCCCTGACATCTTGCAGTGGCTCTTTCTTTCCTTCGGAGTAAAAATCCTGACTCTGGGGGAAGGGCTCTTCGCGATCAGGCCGGCGTCTGCCTCCCTGGCGTGACGCCCGGTCCTCGGCACGCACCTTTCGCTGCGGTGTGGCCACCGTGGGGGGTCACCCCATCAGGACTCCCAGGACAGAGCCTCCTGCTCCTTCAGGGTCACTACTCACAGTCCCCAGAAAGTGGAAACAGCCCCAAAGCCCGTCTCTGAGGAATAGATAGGAAACAAGTACGTTTGTAGGAAAGAATACAAAGGAGTAGGTTCTGACACGTGTGACAGCAGGGACGAACCTCGTGGCACGTGGAGGAAGCAGACAGGAAGGCCCCCTGGTGTAGGATTCCAAAATACAGGGAGAGGGGCTGGGGGACGGGGGTGCGGGAAGGGGCTGCCGACGGGCGCGGGTGGTGGGAGCATTCTTAGCGCGGCGGCACCATGCTGCGGATGTGCTCAAACCCGCTTCATCGCAGACTTGGCCACAGTGAATTTTATGTTGTACGAAATTCACCTCAATAAAAAATGTCCCTCCCAACGTAGGTGAGAACCCTGAGCAGAAATACCTAGCACTCAGAATAATAAGACACAGACTACTGGAATGAATGAAAATATTTTGCAGGAGAACTGACTAGGCGGGATCAAAGACCGGAAAGGGCAGGTACACGGGGAAGAGTTGCTCTTGCTTGGCCTCAGACACCTGTAGTGAAGGCACACATCGTATTTTCCTCCAGTCACATTGTTTGTTAAAAGCCCCCAATAGGAGGCGCCTGGGTGGCTCAGTCGGCTGAGCGTCTGACTTCAGCTCAGGTCATGACCTCGCGGTTTGTGAGTTTGAGCCCCGCGTCGGGCTCCGTGCTGACAGCTCAGAGCCTGCCTGGGATTCCCCGCCCTGAACCCATCTAAAATAAAGTTTAAAACAAACAAACACACACATAATTCCTGCCCATTTGTCCCTCGTGGCCTCAGAACTCTTACCATGGTCCAGAAGTCCTCTGTCCCCGCCCTCTCCGGGCCCCAGATCTGGGTGACCCACAGACCGCAGAGCGCAGTCCTGTGCACCGGCCCGGCCCGAGGTGTAGGAGGGGTGGTAGCCAGAGACCCCATGTCGCCCTGGGACAGGTGGCCTTGCCAGCTCCACAGGCGGCCATCGCTGCTGTCACACAGACACGTGTCACAGCACGGTGACCAGTAAGATGGCGTCTTTTCCCTCCCACGTTAGAGAGGAAATTCAAACACTTACCAAGAAGTTTCAAGAACTGGAAGAAATTAAGAGAGAAGAAAAAGACGACCCCGTGGAAATGACCCCGGAGGTATGGCTCAGCTGGGCTCAGCTTCCTGTCCGGGCATGGTGGGGCTCTCTCTGTCGCCAGGATTTTCCTGGCTCCGACGCTGGCAATCCAATTCCCTTTTATCGTCACCACTGATTTCCATAAATTGTGTGTGTCGAGTCCAGAGTTCTGAACTAATTAACCGTCAGTTAAGTGACTTTTTGAACTAGCATCCGAGTCTTAGCTGAGCTGACGAGTGAAGTCCTTCCCAGATTTCACATTCACTGAAGGGTTGTCTGTTAGCAGGTGAGGAGTATGAGGAGGCCCTACAGGGGAAGGAGGGATATCTGGTGAGGACATCCTGTCCCCAACCCTGCGTGTTTAGTGTGAGCTTCGGGCTAAGACAGAGAGCAGGCCTGACCCGGGGCGGTGGGGGGGGGGGGGGGGCGCCAGGTGCCTGCCACCAAACGTCACACATGTCCAGGTGTCGAAGGTGCGTGAGGCAAACGGCAGGTTGGAGGTCAGAGGTAAGTGTAAGCAGCACAGGCATGGACAGGTCACACGATGACAGATGTTATCTGGCCCCAGGAGAGCAGAGATGTGGGGTGCGTTAGGACTGGGGAAGGAGACAAGCCCCCCTGAGGTGAGGTAGCAGGAGGACCCGGGCTAGCCAGGAGGCGCTGGTGACAGTGGCCGACGGGCTCGGGGGCACTGGTGCTTGCACGGCGGGCCGGGCACCTTGGACCCAGGGCAGTTTCAGCTTTTAAGTTTCAGCCTCTGCGAGAGCATTCTCCAGCACGGGTGTCTCCATCGGTGCGAACAGGCCAGTATGTTGATTTTTATTGCAGACCATGAATCTGGACCCTCCAAGGTGGTAGATACCAGGTTTATTTCAATGATCAAAGTAGCATTTCTTTTCATCTCCAAAACCAAGCGAGACATCGGTTTCCTTTCATCAGAGTCCCGTTGCTGTCAGTGTCTTAGGTCAGAAAACCAAGGAAAGGAAAAGCCGGTGAACCTGGCGGTCACGCACACGTGTTACTGAGCTCAGGAAGTGCGGCCTAGGTTGAAGGGGCCTCCCAGGGGAGCTCCCCAGGGGAGCACTGCCCCCGCCCCAGGTTTAGGGGGGTGGATGAAGACCTACCTGAAATCTGTTTATTAGCAACACGTTTCTGCAGACATGAAAGATGTCACAAGGCTGGACGTGTGGCTACGGATTTTTCCTCTAAACTGAAAGCCCGTTCTGACGAGCTTTGCCTGTATCGTGCCGCCTTACCTGATCCCCGTCCTCCCTGCCCGGCTTAATCATCCTTTGCACCTTGAATTTCCTGCAGACCCCGGAAGAACCCCGACCTTCCCTTCCCACCAGCAGGCCCTCTCAGCAGGACTCTGAGCCAGATACAAGCGAGGAGGGCTTCTCCCGGCCCCCCTCCACCTGCTCCGAGGGGCGAAGAGACACGGCAGCCAGGATCCTGCAGAGCCGGTGGAGGGTATACAGACACCAGGTGAGAGCCCACGAAGGCCCTGCCGTGGTCTGTGGCCCTGGGGCCCCTGCGACACGCGGGCTCTGTGCTGTGTGCAGCTGGCATGTGGGAACGTGCGGGAGGGACAGCGAGGATGCGGGAGGGACGGCGTGGATACGGCTGAGGACAATGTCGCAGGGGGTGAGGCAGACACCAGCACCTGGCCCCACGGTGGAGGGAGCGGGTCCTGCGGGGAAGGAAGTGACCTGGTGCACACAGGGGCCGCATTCTGGAATCACCGCCCCGTCCCTCTGAGCACGGGCCGGAGCATGGGATCCACAGTGAAGCGGATCTATCTCGGAAGCAACTGGAATTGAAACCCCCGGAGGAGCCCCTTTTCTGCGGCCGCCTGGGAGGAAGCAGCTTGGGCTGTGGGCCATTTTCTTGTGACTGAAAAACCTGCCTCCGAGCGCGTGCGTCTCAGCCGGAGGGAGGCGGGAGGCAGGGGCTGTGTATATGCCGAGCACCTTTGTGCTTGGGGAGAGTGGGGCGAGGGGCCCAGGGAGCCCCCGTCTCATGGCGCTGTCTCATGGCCGTTGGGGGGGGGGGGTGGGACTGGGGCCCTCTCCTAAGCTCCTGGGACGAGGGGGCCGTCTCCTTGCGCCAGCCGCATGGCATGCCCCGAGAGAGCTGCCCGGTTTTTGGTTTTGTAGAACACAGGTTTTGTAGAAAGCAGGGTGCTTTCTCCCGAGGGAACCAACAAACCCCGGTGAGGCCCCTCCTTGCCTGAATATCAGAAGGCTGCCAGGAGGGCTTTTTTTTTTTAATTTTTTTTTTCAACATTTATTTATTTTTGGGACAGAGAGAGACAGAGCATGAACGGGGGAGGGGCAGAGAGAGAGGGAGACACAGAATCGGAAACAGGCTCCAGGCTCCGAGCCATCAGCCCAGAGCCCGACGCGGGGCTCGAACTCCCGGACCGCGAGATCGTGACCTGGCTGAAGTCGGACGCTTAACCGACTGCGCCACCCAGGCGCCCCGAGGAGGGCTTTTTAAATTGCTGTTTCTTCCAAACTTTCATCACGAAAACTCACAGGACATTTAGAAGGGCTAGAAGACTTTCGGGCATTCCAGGAATTCTTGCCACCAACCCGACCCACCCGTAGTCGACACGTAGGCACGTTTCCTTTCTATTCCGACCATTCCTCCCCCGCGCCACGTGGACGTGAGGCTCAGACGTTACGAGGGTCCGGCTTGCATCGTGTAAGCACGAGGACACGTCCTAGCAGACCGCAGTACGTGCCGTCAGATGCCCCAGAGACGCAGCAGTGACTCTGACTTCACCTGGTGTCGCCTCCATATTCAGACCTCTCCAGGTGTCCCAGGATGCCCCTTTACTTGTTGTCGGTCCCCTCTATTTCCTGGAAGGGGCAGGTTAGGTCCACAAGCTTGACTCGCTTCAGGTTGAACATTTTTGGCCAGAGCACCCCCCAGGTGGTTCCGGGCACACGGTCTCCCTTCCCACAGGTGACACCGGGCGGTCCCGCCACCATCTAGCTGCAGGCACTGGGTGGTGCGGCTGCCGGCGCTTGCCGCTGTAAAGAAACGCCTTTCCCCGCTGATGAACCCATGACGTGCCTTTCACCGGTGGCCCCAGCAGCCTTACGTGCCTTAGCTCAGCCCTTCGTTTCGCACGGTTGCGGGATGACTTCAGACCCCCCTCCCCTGCTTAGTGGCCGGCACTCTTCCGTAAAGCAGTTTTCCTGATCAGCTGGTCCGCAGGGCACAGCCCCGGGGCCTTCTGGAAGGGCAGGGTCAAGGCTTTGCTGTCCTCCCTCGAGTACTAGGTAAGCACTGATGGCAGGACAGGGAACTGTGTGCTGGCGGCTCTGGCGGCCAGAGCCCCTCCCCCCATGCTTTGCGGGGCGGCGGCATCACTGCGTCCAAGAGGGATTACTGTTACTCTTGGTCGCGGTCAGCCCGTCGCACGTTCGGTCAGTGGGAGCGCTCCGTCTGGCTCCGTCCGTCCATGCCTCTGGTCTTGCTGGCGCAGCCTCGCTTTCTGGCACAAGGAGGCGTCGCAGGCTCCCGGTCCTCCTCACCCCAGACCGGATGGAGCTCGCCGTTTCCAAGGCACCTGCCGCGTCCACCTCGCTCCCTGCTCCCACCCACCAGGCACTGGCTTCCGCCCCCGGCTCGCCCCCCCCCCCCCAGAAGCTGGGGCACAGCCGGCTTGGAGACTCATGAGTTAAATCCTTCCTTCCTTCAGGATTCTGCTTTAAAAGAACTCAGAATAAAAGGAAATGCGCGTACCGACATGTAGGTACAAAGCGTTTGAAAGGCCACTCGGGTCCAAACGAGAGTCCTGGGACCTCCCTCTGGGGTCCGCTTGGTCTGCACGTCTCGGGCTCACGCTGGGTTTCGAGGGTGTCTGAGGCCATGAGCAGGAAGGCCCTGGACTCGCCTGGAGCCCTCCCAGCCAGTGTGGTTGTGCCCCACACCAGCTAAGCTTTTTTCTCAAGTTTATCATTTTGAGAGAGAGAGTAGGGAAGGGGCAGAGACAGAGGGAGAGAGAATCCCCAGCAGGCTCCACACTGTCAGTGCAGAGCCCGACGTGGGGCTCGATCCCACGAACAGTGAGATCACGACCCGAGATCAAGAGTCGGACACTTAACCCATCGAGCCACCCAGGCGCCCACGAGCTTTGGGGTGAGCCGCAGGATGCCCTGGCCAGGGCCTGCAGCCGGCCACAGACCGGCACGTCTCCTGAGTCACAGGCCGTTTCCGCGGGCAACATGATTCCATCTTCTCCGTGTGTCACGGCACATTCCCACGCCTCCACTTTGCTCTCTTCAGGCTTCACGTGAGATGTCCTCACTCCCCACCCCGTGTCCCTGCCAGTACTTTCCTGTCCTCGCCTGCTGCTTGAGATTATCTTTGCCGGTCTCGACCACTACTGTTATCAAACGTGTTTTTTTCCTTCCTCCCTCCCTCCCTCCCTTTCTTTCTTTCTCTCTCTCTCTCTCTCTCTCCCTCTCCCTCCCTCCCTCCCTCTCCACTCTGCTGGTCCTCATACTCCATTTCCCTTCATCTGTCAAGGGATAAATCCTTTTCTGTAACAGCTGTGGGCTGTGCACTCTGATTAATACTGAAAATGAGCTGGTTAACGTATGTTTTATCGACGATGGCCACGGTCCACCACAGGCACATGTATCATCCTGGGGTTCCCACCCTGGAAGGACCTGGGCTATAAAAATACGTATTCTTGGGTCTCATCTGTGCTGACTCTGGATCAGCCTGTCTTGGGTGTAGCTGATTTTTCTCAAGTCCCTGGGTGCTTCTCACGACGGATCAGATTTGGGGGCCAGTGACCCAGACCCGTGGACGGGGTCCCCTTTGTAATTTCTCCAGCAGGCAGTGCCCAGCCCCTGTGTGACCACCCAGAGAGGGCACCCGTGTCAAGACAGCTCCAGCCGTGGGGAGGGGCTTCCCCGCCTGGAGCCGAAGACACGCACACGTGTTGATGCTCGTGAGACACTGTCTCATGGAGCTCACTGCCACGGGCTGGCCAAGAGTCGCAGGCGACACCAAGGTGTCTCGTCTTTAACCGTGACCCGCCCTGAGAAAGCCGGCCATCTAGTTACGGCTGCCGGCCCCTCAGCACTGTCAGCCAGGCGGAGGAGGAACAGGGACGCACGGAGCCCCCTGGGGTGTGGGTGGCAAGGAGGGGGCTCTCTGAGGGGAGTGCCCTGGTACCCCGACTCTGCTTTTGCACCCATGGCGACTGGGGCTGGGGCAGGGGCAGGATCAGGAAATGAATACTACTGTAAAAAATTCATCCTTGTGTTAATTCATGATTTATCTCTTTATTTCAGAAAAAAAAGGCCGTCCTGGACGAGGTAAGCAAAGTTTATTTCATCCGTTTCAAAATATGTATTTCTGCACCGGAGCAAAGTCCCAGCGGGATGCCTCAGGAAGCATCACGGGCACTTGGTTTCGTGAAATCAGACCAGCCCCAAGTGATATCAACATCAAATGAGTATTTGGGTAGCTTCACACCTTCAAATTCATTCATTCATTCATTCAATCATTCCTTCTTTCAACACACTTTTCTCGGTCATCAGTTCGGAGTCAGGCAACCCGGCGGGCCCTCGGGACTCAAAAAAGATGTTGACTCAAACAGCAGATGGGTCGTCGCAGGCCAAGGTGGCAGGTGTGGTTTAGGGCTCGTGTCCAGGTGTGCCGTGGGGTCTGGGGAATGTGGGGGCTCCCAGGCTGAGAGGAAGGGCTCCAGGCAGAAGACGGGTGTGCGAAGGAGCACAGCCTGCCCGGGAGGAGAGCAGGTTGTGTGTGAGCGGCTGGACGCGGGCTGGGAGGTGCCGGGACTGACGGAGTCTGAGACCCGCACAGCCCCTTGCTGCTGCTGTCGCCTTCCCCACCAGCCTGTTCCCCACGCAGCCTCCGGGGTGACATGTCTTACGTGTTAAATAACACCCACCACCGCATAAGACCTGCTCCCAACTTGGAGCAAATTCCAAAGCTGTTGCCTGAACACCCTCTGTGCCACATGTCCTGGCGACCCCTCCAGCCCTGCTCATTCTTCTCTAGCCAGTCTGGAGACTTAACACTCCTCGAAAACACCAGCATATCCCTGCCACAGGGCCTTTGCACTTGCTGCCCCTCTGCCTAGAAGGCTCTTCCTCCAGATACTTTGCCCCCTTGCTTTACACAGGTCCGTACTGAAACATTACCTCCTCAATGACACCCTCTCTGAATACCCTGTGCCAGCCATCACTCCGGCCTCGTGTCCTGCTTTAGTTCTCCTTGTGGCTTTTATCCCTGTTTGATATTTTGATAGCTTACTTCTTTGCAAACTGCTTGTCTCACATTGCAGTGGAGGTTCCGCGGAGGCAAAGACTGACTCTGCCTTTGGGCCACTATGTCCATAGTTCCCAGGACGCGGCCTGCCATATGGTAGGCATTCGGCAAATCTGTGCGATGAGTGGGTGAATGGCTGAGCTTGGGACTCCTCCAGGGACCCTGGAGCACGTCTACCAGCCGGCCGGCCCGTGCTGTCGTGCTCCGCTGCCGTCTCCGGTGCCGCCCCAGGCCCGAGCGTCCTTGCCTCTCCAGGCAGGTGCGGTGTGGCCGAGCTGTGGTTGGTGTAAGTCAGCAGCCACCACCCTCAGCCCGTGTCGCCCGTAAGGAGCCCTAGGTCCCTGCTGTCCGCGTGTAGCGAGCCCCCTGGGTCGGTCTACACGTGCGTTTGCCTGTTTGATTTTGCCTTAATGAAGGTCCCCTTAGCGCACTTTGTTGGGCCTGTTTTTTTTTTTTTTTAATGTTTGTTTACTTTTGAGAGAGAGAGTGTCATTGCAAGTGGGGGAGGGGCAGAGAGAGAGGGAGACAGAGAATCCGAAGCAGGCTCCAGGCTCCCAGCTGGCAGCACAGAGCCCGTTGCGGGGCTCAAACTCACGAACCTCGAGATCATGACCTGAGTCGAAGTCGGACGCTTAACCCACTGAGCCCCCCCAGGTGCCCTTTGTGGGGCCTGTTTCTGAACTCCAAGTTCAGGACGTCTGCTTTACCTTGCCCTCCATAGGGACAAAGCAAAGGTGTTTGGGTTTTTTGTGTGTGTGACTGATTCTGGAAGCCTCTAGGTATCTAAACACACGATGTGTCAGGACCCAACGTACTAAGCGTGTTGTTCCCCTAAAACGCCGTGAAAGCCGAAATCCTTTGTCATGCTGTGACGTTTTCACCCAGGGCTGGTGGCTGCTGCCCCCGAGACCCACGCCCCGGACTGCAGAACTCAGCAGAGCATCCACATGTGCGTCTGAAGAAATTATTTAAGTTCAAAAGATAAAGAATTCCTTTGCAGCAGTATGAGATCGTGCTCTACCCTGCTTGATTTTGTGTTTTCTTCATGCTTGCTTGTTTTTGAGACAGAATGAAAACACGGGTGGGGGAGGGGTAGAGAGAAGGGGACAAAAGATCCCAAGCAGGTTCTGTGCTGACAGCAGTGAGCCCGACGTGGGGCTCAAACTCACACACCATCTCAGGAGCTGAGCTGAAGTCGGACGCTCAACCGACAGAGCCACCCAGGTGCCCCTGCCCTGCCCGCTTTTGGAACATGTGTACGGAAAGCTGTTGCATCCACGCGACTCCTGAAACAGAATGCTACGGGCACCAGTGACAGTTACCACAAAGGTTATTACAATGAGAGGCAAGGCTGACCGATAGGGACCAACACTCTTGAAAAGAGTGTGGCCCTGAACAGCCGGGGTACAGAGTTTTTAAAGCCGATCCCATCATTTTATCATTATCTGGGAACAGAACAGAGAAACAGTTTCTAGATGAGTTAGAAATAGTTGCCAGATGAGTCAGAAACAGTTCTCGAATGAGGTGATTATTTTAGACTTTCTGCCGCTAAGTTGCAACCAGTGGAGCTCTTTGACCTTGTCTCTGACGCTCTTTTTTGAGGTTTTGTTTCCTTCATTGGTAAAGCCTGATTCACAAGAGTATGAAGTATGATTTACAAGAGTAAAAGTAAGGCTGTTAACTTTTGACCTTCAGTGTCAGAACAAAGTTGTTATCTTTCAAGCTAAGCGTTAGCCCTACAGTACAATTTAACCCTTACAAAGCATGTGGTATAGACTACCCAGCATGGAAACCTAACTACTGTAAAATACGGACACACACTGGCAGCTAAGTTTATTAGCATCTAACAGATGATGTGCTTTCCCGCGGGATCGGGCGACTGTGCCTCTCTCTGCCCAGACGACGGGTCTGTTTCTCCCTGGGGGAGGCGCTAGGTGAGTGACGGAGAGGCCGTGGGTACGCAATAGTGAGAGAAGTCACTTCTCTGCTGCTAGGGCTTTTCCCTCTGGATCCCCCTTCCTCCGCAGCTGCCACCTTGCAGGGGAATTAACGTCTACTTCCCTCTCTCCCCGTTCCCTGCCAGGCGGCTGTGGTGCTTCAGGCAGCGTTCAGGGGACATGTAGCGCGGGTGAAGCTGTTGTCAAGCGAGGCGTGCGCCCCAGAACCCCCCAGCCCGCCCAGACAGGTAACCCCCGGGGCCGGACACAGCGGCCCGCTAGCCGCCCTCTCCCCGTCTCCCCGTCTGGCGCCTCACCCACCGAGGCAGCACGGCATCTTCTGGTCGCGGTGTCCTACCTTGCGCCTTACTGTCCGTCGCGGGGCGCATCGGGCCAGGCAGGCTCCAGGTGGATGTAACGTCTGGTGCCTACGTACTAGGTACGCGTCCATCTCACGATTGAGGTATAATCTTAACGCAGTAAAGATGAGCGTCTTCCTACTCTGTGAAAACAAGACATCCGTTTTAAGAATCTCCAGAGTCTGAGAGTCAGGAAGTGCTAAGCACACAGTACCCAGATGAGCCACCCGGAACGGGGCCGTGCTCGCACCTGGCTCTCTGAGGGCCAGGCGGGGGCCCCTGCCACGCTCACTGTCATTTTGCCGCAGGACCCTCCGTCACCGCGTGTTCCAAGCCCCACCGTCCAGGCCCAGGGCAGCCCGGGACAGGAGGAGGCCATCACCGCCATCCAGTCCGTCCTGCGGGCGCACCTGGCACGGGTCAGGCGCAGGTAAGTCCAACCGGCGGGCCCAACTCTGTTCCGTATCCCTGGGAAACGCCGGCCGCAGACACGGTGCGAGGAGCTGCCCGTCCAGGTGGCCGGCCCGTGGTTCCCCGGACACAGGGTGTAGGAGCTGGGACCTTGGTTTGTCACCCGAACAGAAACACCCCGTGAGGAGTTCCTCCTGCCTGTGCAGCGGGGGTAACCCGTGAGTTCTGGCCTTCCTGGAACGGCCCCCCCGGGCCGGGGGAAACCAGAAGAAGGGGCCAGACACTGTGGGGTTCTGGTACCCGCCACTTTGTAGGCTGGTCAGCTCGTCCTAATGCATCGTCCTTGTTAGAAGAAAACGTGACGGGACCCCAGCATTCGGGAAGGCGCGGGCGTCGTCAGAACCCTCCCAGGGCAGCGCTCCTTCTCTCCTTCTCGGTGGCACTGTTGCGCCAGACCCGCGGGGGCACCGGCTGCAGAAAGTCACAGCCCCTCCCAGCTGTTGTGGGGCGAGGGGGGGGGGGTTCTGCACCGAGGCGGGGGAGTGTCCCTCAGGAGGGGGCTGGGGCTGTTCTGCTGCAGGGCTCAGGCTCCCTGCCCCTCAATCTGCCCTTCCTCTCCGGTGTCGTTTTTGGTTCCTCTCTGCCACAGGAGAGCCAGGTGGAGCCCGAATCTCATGGTTCTGGTTCCCCGTGAACGGGGACGGCCGGGGGCTCCACGCAGGTCAGGGTCCATCCCGGCGCGGCCATCACGGCCGGTGACCGTGTCCGCTGGGACAGAAAGGCACGGGAGACGGTGGGAAAGGAAGGCGTCTGGCCCTGACCCCGGCCGTGCACCAGCCCTGCCGGCCTCCCGCGCATCCGTGAGCCCCGCCGTGGGCCTCAGCCCACGGGGGCGTTCTGTGAAGTCCGAGCGGCTGGCCTCTCTCTTGCAGCGCCGCCGGTCAGAGAGCCGTCGCCGCAGCCCCCAGAAGGAGGCAGCCCGTTCCGGCCACACACAGCCAGCTCTCCTCGCCACCCTGCCCGGGCCCTTCTCCTGGTAACGTCACTTCAGTTTCGATTTCCCCGGCCCTCTGAGCTTCCAGCAAAGAGCTGCCACTGCCCAGAAGCGTGGGGTGTGTGGGCACGTGTGGGGGCTTGTCCACTGTGACCGCCTACCAGCAGGGAGGCTGCATCGGGGAGATTCTGGACCTTTGGAGGCAGCCCCAGGGTCAGTGACGGGGGCTTCCGGGCACCTGCGGGCCACAGAGTTGGAGCTTCATGCCTCGTGTGTCTTTGGTTTTTATCCTTGGCTCTAACCGGAGCTGGTGGTTTCCCCCCTTTGGACCAATGCTTTTCCTGTTTGTTGGTTTTAAGTAAAGCTTTGCGTGTATCTGCTTTTTGGCCTCATCAAGGCCCCCAGACAGTGCAGACATCCCTGGGACTGACAGGGGCGCCGCACGCCAGCAGTGAGGCCCGGTCAGCTCTGCCCGGCGGCGGACGTGGGGTCCTGGGCAGGGCCCGTCTCCTCGCGTGTGAGGCGGATGCCCGGCGAGAGCCTGGACGTTGCTTTCAGGCCCCGCGACTCCGGCCTCCCCTCCCCCTTCCTCTGCTGTGACTTGCTCGCACTCGTACTGTGATGCTGCCGATGAGCAAGAAGGCGGTGCTGGGAGGTTTGGGACGGTCACTGGACCAAGAAACTAAGTCTTGAGGTCCTGTTAGTGAGGGCGGTAGGCGGTCACCACGTGGCGCTCACGTGGGAACGTTTCCAGCGACTTTTCTGTCCTGAGCTCGTAGGTCACAAAGATGGAGTCTGAGGACAGGCGGGGAGCGGGGCTTCGTGTCAGGAAACCTCAGCAAAGGAAGCCAAAACCCGGGTGCTGGGGTGGAAAGACGGGGGGAGGGGACGAGTCCTGCCCGTGTCCCACGCCGGCCGCGTGCAGGGCCAGCACTTCTGGTCTGCGTGTCATTTCAGGTCAAGAGGACAGTGAGGCGAGCGGCGGGGAGACCACGGAGGGGCCGGCGGCCGAGGACGAGGCTCCGGTGAATCCAGCAGCCCTGCAGCCCCGCTGCGGTGAGTGGGGGCGACGCGGCCTTCGGGGGGCTGGGTCTCAGAGAATGTCCTGAGGAGCCAAGGGCTTGCCACCGTGTCCACCCGGGAAGTCAACACACGGGAGAGCGGGCTGCGTCCCTTGCAGTCGCTCAGCCCGGGCTGTCGGGGCTCGCGGACGTCGAACTCTGGTGCCCCACAGGCCCCGCGTGTCAAGAGCCAGGGGCAGCAGCACCGGGATGCCCCGGAAGACGCGGAGCCGGGCGGGCCATCGAGGACTCCCGGCCCCCCGAGGCCCCTCCTCCTGCGGACGGTGTCGTCTCCCGCCAAGGGGCGTTACCGCACACACCGCCCTCAGTTCCCGGCAGGGCCGTGTGGCCCCGTTTGGTCCGATCGTGACCGTGTTTTCGAAGATAACCTTGGAAACGGATGTTTGCGCGTCCTGAGGCTCTCCTCTCAGATATTCTCTGGAAAGCGCCAGAGGCCAGCTGTGCAGTCACACGCCTCGGTGCGGCCGAGCCTGGCTTCCTTCCCGCTTTCCCCCCGACCGGCGACCGGCTGTCCCCTTGCCCCTCACCGGCCAGAGTGCGGGCCTCCCTCCCATCCCTCGCCCGCTTCTGGCCCCTCCTCAGGCCCCTCGGGGCGCAGGCTGTCTGCAGTGGGCGCCCCCTTCCAGCAGAGACGGGATTCTGGAAGGCTGCTGTGCATGAAGAGTGTGGGGGAGGGGCCACAGGGCACCGCGTGCCTGTCTCCCCAGGTGGACGTGCCACCAGGAAGCGGGCTCTTACACACGCAGCTGGCCACCAGCCTCGCCAGCGCTGGGTCGCAGCTCCCGCCCAGGCCACGGGCTCGGGGCGCCGCGGTGGGGGCGGCCCTCAGAGACCCCCAGTCGCGCTCCAGCTTGCTCGCTGTCGGCCAGCCTCACCTTTTGAGGGTGTTTGCCTTTTGGCAACGGCCTGGGTGTCCAGAGCTGAGCTCGGAGGCTGAGGTGGTTTGTGGCCGGGTGACGCTGACGCCGAAGGTCATTCCCGCCCGGCAGGGAGCAGGCGCTGTGCCAAGCGTCCGGGGCACGCCCCGGCCCCTAGCAGTTGCGGTGACAACCCCGCTCCGGTTCCTTGCAGGGCCGTCCTCTCCCTCGGGACCGGGACCCGCAGACGACGGCAGCTCTGACGACTCCGATGAGATCGTGGTGGCCCCGGCTGTGGCCCCGAGGAAGGCCGCCTCCCCACCCTAGGTTCCGGGCCTGCCCCTCACGCGGCGACGGCCCTGCAGGGAAGCTCGGGGTTTGGAGGACGAAGCGTGTCCTAGAGGACGTGGGAACTACAGTTATGACTGGAGAGTATTTTACCTTGTTAACCAAGAGCTCCGTGCTCCACACACACCTCAGCAGCCTGGTCGGTGCTCCTCTTCCGTTGGTCTGGTCGCCTGTTTGGTTGCTTGTTCAGGGAATCCTGAATGATCTCGTCTCCGGGAAGGGCCGGCGGCGCAGTTTTCGGTGTCAGACGGACAGACGCTTCTGCCCAGGACGGGCCAGCCGGGGGCCCTGCAAAGACGCGGTCTCGGCAGCCGCTTCCTGGCCTCCGGCCGTGAGCTGGGAACACCCGCCTTGTCTGGAGCCGTGCTGACGGCTCCCCGTTCCTCTCCTGCCACCGCCTTCTCTGGCACCGCGTGCTCTGATCTCCACCCGGCAAGTAGGCAAAGTACTTTCTGGAAGAGACACATATGACAGACCCCTGTGGCAGGATACGGCGTCTCCAAGTCTCGTGAGACATGAGGACATCGGGGCCCCAAGAGGGGCTCATGTTCCTCAGGCTCCTCCTCCTGCCCCTCTCCACGCAGACCTTCCCCCACCATCATCCCCACCGCCAGGGCCCTGTGCCCAAGAGGTGCTGTGCCCAGGAAGGAGTCTGGCGAGACCCTGTCACTGGATAGGCCAAGCCTTAAAAGGCACCAAACCCTAACCACGAAGTACCATCAGGTTTGCCTTTGAGAAGTGCAGCGGCACAGCTGTCCCCAGACCCCGGGCAGGGAAGGGGTGCTGGGCTCACCCACGGGCCGCAGGTGATGGGGGTGCTCCGGGCCCTTGCTGCGTGCGGGCCCCAGCTCCCGCCCAGCCTGTGCCACACAAACACACAGCCCCCCCCTTTGTCTGCAAGGTCAGCCTTTGTTGATGGAACGAGAAGAGCCTCAGGCTCGCGGTCAGGGGGGGGGACGTCAAGGGCGTCTTAAGAGCCCCGTGTCCCCAGGCCGGGCGTCCAACTCTCCACAGGTCCACAGGCCACACACCTGGCGTGAGGAAGCTCGCTCTTGCCTGGACTGAGTGTGCCGGCTGGAGCCCTTCTGAGGTCGAACCTTGGGGAGTAGGATGCGTTCTTCTTTGGGGAAACCCTTGGCCCTCCTCACCGTGGCCAGGAAGCTTCTGGCGCCACAACCAGCTAGAGCCCGTCCATGGTCGTCCACCCCGAGCTGCCGGGACCACCCGGTCAGGCTCCGTCCACACAACAGCTTGAGAAAAAAAAGCCCAGCCAGAAAGCTAGGCCGATTTAGTCTTTTGTTGGTTTGGTCTGTGGGCTGTGAAGTCCCATTTTCTTGTTTCTCGTTTTTCCCACTGGACCGACTGGTAACTGGACCGAATCTGTTGCCGCCCCTGGCTTGTTTCACGCGTGGGGTCTGTTCCCCAGTGACCCGACCACCCTCCCCTGGGTCCCGGGCTCGGAGCTAAGGGTCTGTAGGGGCTGGGCGAGCGCTGGGGGCCTGCCCGCTCCTGGGGCGAGGCTCCTCCCACCCGTCACTCAAACAACGGGCATTTCCACCCACTCGTCATTCGGGCCCTGGAGAACAAGGCCCCGCGTGGCGTCCGGGCTGGTCTGTGTGCCGTGACCGGAGGGGCCTGGCCAGCGGGCAGGGCCACGAAGGCAAGATCGGTCCGTGTGCTTGTGTTTTCCAAGGAGACGACCCCAAGAACTGTAAATATGTACACGCGTCTGCCTGTGTGCCTTCCGGGCAGCATTGTTGATCTATTAAAAGCAAACATTCTCGAAGCCGCCTCGGTCACTGACGCACCTCTAGGCCACCGTGAGTTCGGCCAGAGTCCAGTGTGCACGCCCTCTGGCGGACGGCCTGCCCTGTGGCCCTGTGGCCCTGTAGGCGCCGAGGAGAACCCCAGGCAGCATCCTGCTTGTGGGGCCTGGCCGCGGGGCTGGGTTTCCTGGCCTGCAGAGCCAGAGGGCCTGGAGCGCCGACCCCCTGTGCCTGCTCAGCTGGGGGCCACTGCCCACACGGGGCCTCGGGGCCCACTCCAGGGAGGCAGGGGAGGGGAAAGGGATCCAGCAGAAAGGAGACAGGCACTGCGACCTCAGGCATCAAGCGCCCCAAAGGCACAGGTCCGTGCCCTCCCGTGGGGAGTCCGGGGCATGTGAGGCTCGCCGCGCCCTGGTTGTCACCACAGCACCCGCACACCGGCTGGGGGCTGACAGAGAAACGTGCCCTGCCCCCGCCCCGGCCACCCTCACAGTGCAGAGGCGGAAGCCGCGTCTCCCGGCCCTGACCCAGCTGACCCGGTGCTGCCGCAGCCGGGCCTCCTGACCGCGGGGATGCGAGGCTCCCAGGCTGCCGCCATCCACCCCCCCCCCCCGGCCCCTCCCTCCCGAAGCGGCGCCGTCCCCCACCGGGACGCACGGGGGCTGACCCGGCCTGGCCACGGAGATGCTGCTCCTGCCGCCTGGGATGCCGGAGAGACCCCAGCCCGGGAGCCGGGGACAGGCTGTCCTGTGGCATTCCTGAAGGTGCCGGGTGATGACGACAGAGGAGTCCGGGCAGTGTCACGGCCCCCGGCGGCCCTCGGTTCGCACCCACCCAGCAGGCACGCTCCGGGGAGAAAGAGGGCAGGGAGGGCAGTGCTAGTGGGAACAGCACAGGGCGGGACCGGGCGGCTGCCCAGACACGAGCGAGTAGACGCGTGAGGGCTGTGCCGAGGGGCGAGCCCAGTGGCAGGCGGCTTCCAGGGAGCTCAGCTGCGGGTCTCCGTGCCCAGGGACCCAGGAGGAGTGCGGGCCGGGAGGTCCCCGCCAGGGTGGACAGGCGAGGGCCCGGAGAGGGAGACCGCCAAGACCAGGAGCCCCGCAGGCCTCCCAGTGGGGAGGTCGCTGACTGGGCAGCTCAATGGCTTTTTTTAAGTTTATTTTGAGAGACAGAGAGGGCACAGGTGGGGGAGGAGCAGAGAGGAGGGAGGAGGGAGAACCCCAAGCAGCTTCCACACCATCAGCACAGAGCCTGATGCGGGGCCCGAACCCACGAACCGGGAGATCACGACCTGAGCCGAAACCAAGAGTCGGGAGCTTCACTGTCTGAGACACCCGGGCGCCCCTCGATGGGGTTTTTAGGGGGTTTTGTTTGCTCGCTCCTCTATGTGTGAGGGAGGGACTCTGAGAGACAGACCCATGGCCCCGACGGCACGTGCTGGCTGTGCCCTGTCCCACGAACGTCCACTGTCGTCCTGACAAGTGCTCTCGGCCCTTCAGACAGACCAGAAACCTCCATCCTGGCAAAAATACCCACAGCGTTAGGAAAAGGGAGACCAGCCCAGCTCATCTGCCAGGGTGAGCACAGCACGCCTTTCTCTCTGATTTCGAGAAATAAATACCCTCTGCAGAAAGCCCGCTACCCTTCGAGATCCGAACACAATTTAAACTCCGAGTCCACCTGAGCTTAAATGACAGCCCTGCTGTGGCTCCGGCAGGAGCACCTGCTGTCACGTGGCTCAGAGATTCTCTGAGGACCGGGGGTCCGGCGGGCTGCCCCTCCAGGGTCCCACCTTGCCGCGTTCCCAAGGGCCCGCTAGCCCCACTTCCCTGCCGGCTAAGCGTCCTTAAAAACGAGAAGTCCCACCTGGGAGTTAAAACGTGAAACCAGCAGGTGGCTCAGGGGAGGAAGCGGTGGACCCACTGGCCTTCGGCACGTGTATTTAGATCGTTGCAACTTTATGCGTCGTTTATACAGGAGTCTTCGGAAGGGATGAGGTTTTCACCCCGTGCTGCAAAGAACAGCTGTCTTGCAGGGTATTTGTCTTGTTTGCCGAGTAAATCCTGTCGCTTTGAATTGCCCCCAGGGGTGCGACGCTGTAGCCCAGGCTGTGTGCTTCAGAAACCTCACTTTCCGGGGCCGCTGGGCCTCTGCTTCGCACCGGCTGGGGTGCAGAGGGCCGGCCGGAGGGAAGAGGCCCTGCCTCCCGCCCGCGGCTCCCTCCTCTCCCGCCTCCCCTCCTCCCTTCTCCTTGCTGGCCCAAGAGGACTCGAGCGTCAAGAAACGAAGACGTGAGGGGCGCCTGGGTGGCTCAGTCGCTTGAGCGTCCGACTCTGGATTTCGGTGCAGGTCACGGTCCCACTGGGATCGAGGAGCTTGCCTGAGATTCTCTAGCTGCTCTTCCCCTGCTCCCGTGCTTGCGCTCGCTCTCAAAAATAAAAAAATTAAAAATTAAAAAAGAACTGAAAATGTGTTTTCACCTGGGGGTGTTTCCCCAAATTCTACTCGGCTTTTGCTTTAGGAGCAGGGAAGGAATCTTTGACAGGAATCCACGAATCTGGAGGCAGAAGACAGCTGATGTCTGGGGAATAAATCTTCCCCAAGATTTTGCTTGCGTGCGGCTGCTTGCCAGGCCCTTAGATCCTGCTGGAATCTGCCCGGAGCCCCTCCCGGGGCTCGTTGGCCAGCTCTGGCATTGCCCGAGCCCACCTCGCGCCCCATCACCACGTGTCTGGGCAAACGGCTTGTCTGGAAGGCTTCACGCTTTGTGCAGGAGCCGCTTGGGCCTTAAGGAGTCTGTGATGGCAGAGAGCAGAGAACATCAGACACCTTCCCCGGCCACACGCCTGTCCCTGCGTGTCCTCAGGGAGGCTGGGGTCCACCCGCAGAGAGCAGCCTCCAGGGGAGACCCTCCCGGAGAGTTCCTTAGCTGGAGCCGGCAAGGGAACGGAGTACGGCCCAGCCTCGGGCCCTGGCCAGCAGGGGTAGACAGACGTGTGAATCCGTGAGCAGGCACAGAGATACACACGTGCACACGTCCCGCTCCCTGTTCCTGCCACTGGTTGGTTTGTGACCCTCGGGAATTTGAAAGTAGTGCCCAGCCTGGCCCGCAAGGAGCACGTGGGCCTCCTTATAGACTCTCAACTGAGAGTTACCCGCAGGCCCTTGCCAAGATGATTTTCTTGATGAGATTCTTCAAAAGTCACCAGGGAATATGGAAAAAAAATGTCAGAATCCGAATCCCCGGTTCCTTTTAGCACCTGCTACTGGGCTGAGGGCACGAACGAGGAGGAACCGCTCCACGTTCCGGGCTCGGGTACCAGCCAATGGCCTTTGGCCAGCGCCTTCCACTCACATCCTGGGAACCCAGCCGGGCTGCGGACAGCGCAGAGGGGCGGCCCCATTAGCCAGAGCCTGCCTGAGGAGCCTCTGGAGTTTCCATGGAGTCCTTTCTGAATAGGGAGCGGGGTGCCCCGGAGCTCACCGTTAATTAAGCCCCAGAACAGCTTGGGATTCAAAGGAGAGGGTGCGGTCTGTGCCAAGGCCCCCGGGGCTGCCATTCAGGCTCCCAGCCTGGCCGCTTGCTTCCTCAGCCCTCCCCTTCCCGGCCGGCGGCTCAGAAGGAATAAAAGCCCGGAAGGGGGGTGGCTGGGGTCGGGGGCCCGGCGCGGCCGCCCCTGCTGATGGTGGCCTCGTCCCCGCCCTCTGTCTAGGCCCAGTTCAGCGCCAAGGGCCCTCCCTCTTGGCAGCACTGGTGCGATGGCCCTACCCCCGTGTCTGGTCTCCTCCCTCACACGGTATTTCTCCTGCCCCCCCACCCAGCCTGTAACCAGGCTGGGCACCACCCCTGGTTGTCTGTCTGTTAGACGGGGGCATCCCCGGGGCTCCATCCCCAATGCCCACACTCCCCAAATACTGACACGGACGTCTGTACCTACGTGTCTCAGAGGCCTCAAGCTCAGCTTGGCCCGGCTTTCAGTGACCTTTGCCCCCTAACCTGCCCCCCCCGTCCAGCGATCCAGCGATGCCGTCTCCATGGGCATCGTCACAAGCCACTCGGTTTTCCGAGCCAGAAGCCTGGGCCCGTCTCTCTTCATCGTCCTCACCCCACAGTCAGCCACCAGGCCCGGGGCTACTGTGCAGAACCCCCAGCCAGCCGTCCCCCCGGACGTGCTGTGCACCCATGGGCAGACACACGCGGACAGACATGCACGTGCATGCACACACACGCACACACAAACATGCTCTCATACGAACGCAGGCAAATGCACAAACGCACGCTCATGTGAAATACATACTTGCACACACGAACACACACCCAAAGACACAAAAGCTCACGCACACACGTACACCGTAAACTCAAGCCACGCTAAGCTATGTGGTTTCCACGGAGAAGACCCCAAAAAGGAAAACGTGTGACCAATGTGAAAATAGGGACTTCTGACAGGGGTGGATGGGATCGTCCAATCTCAGCTCCTCGGTAAGTGGTTCGTTAGTGGACCATACACACGTAATTAGGATCACGTATGCCACTCGTGGGTTCCACGAGCTCCCACCGGCGTCTACACCACTCCGTGTGAGCCGCTTGACGCACTTCTCCAACGCACATCATCCTCACTTGTGCCCCAGCTGTTTGAGAGTCCTTGGCCTTGTCAAGATCCGAACGGGATATGCGGTCTTTGTTCCCGAGCGCCGAGGACTCACATGAACACGCCAGTCTCCAGGGTGCTGGCCTCTGCCCGGCCGCAGGTGTCCCTCTCCGCACGGCGTGGCCACGGCTGTGTGCGCGAAGTGATTTTCTGAAGGCCGGTTCACAGGGACCCCCGGTGTTCGCGGTGGGAGGCTCTCCTCCTGCAGCGGTGCCCAAAGGAGTTACATCAGATAAAAGGAGGTATCCTTTCACCTGGCCGGGTCCAGCGGCCTCAGCTGCTGGCGTTCAAGCTGCTTTCGCACCAGGCTGTCGTCACCGAGAGCGCAGTGGGACGGGACACTCTGTGAGCACTGAGGTGGAGGGCAGAGT